ATCACACTACACACTATTGAATAATATTACAGCAAAAAAAAAAGCGAAGGAAAAAATAAGAGACATTGAAATAATTAGGTAATTATATCTTTGTGGCAACTCTGCCTGACAGCTGGGGCAGAGCAGACCCCCTCGGACGCTTGCTGAGTCGGCGCCTTTTTTTCTTTTTTTTTTCTTCTTCTTCTTCTCCCAGACTTTCCCCTCCCCATCCCCCCTATTGCGGCCAAAATATGTCGCTTACGATTTTTGTATTTTTTCCTGTGATCAGGGAACACAAATTAAATTAACAGGTTTATAAGAGAACAAAAATTGTTAAATTTTTTTTTTATGCGCCTGTGGGGCTTGGGCTTTCGGGGCTTTAGTGTCCCCGCGGCCCGGTCCTCGACCAGGCCTCCTCCCCCCAGGAAGCAGCCCGTGACAGCTGACTAACTCCCAGGTACCTATTTTACTGCTAGGTAACAGGGGCATAGGGTGAAAGAAACTCTGCCCATTGTTTCTCGCCGGCGCCTGGGATCGAACCCGGGACCACAGGATCACAAGTCCAGTGTGCTGTCCGCTCGGCCGACCGGCTGCCTGGTGACAAAAGCCAAATAGCCCTTAGCAGCTTGGGGGTTAAGGGTTTATTAACACTTTCGCGCTCTCCGCAAAGGTCACTCAGCCAACCGAATGTGCGCGCTGCGTTTTTATCGCTTAAGCGTAAAAACAAAAATGTGTATACTCTTTTTACTCTTCTGACCTTAGTTCTCATGCTACGTATTTCATTTTGGTACCAACGTGTTCGCAATAAAATTCTCTAGAAGAACATCAGTAAAAAAAGTCACGAAACGTATAGGGATACCAGCACCAAATAAATAACTACGAAGATGACTCGCCGTGAGCGCCCATCAGCAACAAAATGTTTTTACTCTTGGGATTGTAATCACCTCCACACTTGTTCTACAGCGTTAATTTTGGTATCGATAGACTCGCAATGAAATTCCCAACACGGTGATATGAATATCAGCGTAAAATAATGATGCGGCCCGCCCGCAAGAGTGTGGGAAGTGGTGAAATTGTTACCCGGTATCGGTGACGGGACGACGCACAACGCTTTGAAAGTTTATACTTATTTCACTCTCATGACATTAATTTTCTATGTACATCATTCATTTTTGTGTCAATGTGTTCGCAATAGAATGTTCTATGTGCCCATAGGTAAAAAGTATCAACAAAGCGTAAGTTAGAATAGCACCAAATATAAAACAACGCTGGAACATATCAGTGAGCGCCAAACACACACGAAATGTTTTTACTTTTGTTATGTTTGTCAAGTTTATACTTGTTGCACACAGTTATTTTTGGTTGTATATTGATCGGAATAAAATTCCCTAAACAGACATATGCATATAATACATGATATGGGGGAAGCATTACCAGTATAAACGGCTAAAGTCACCCACCTGCAACCCGTTTGGGACAAAATACCATTTGATCGAAGTTATCCACACCTTTCATGAACTTATTGTACCATGCAGCCTAGTGGTGAGAAAGAGAGCCTCATAGCGCGCAGTTTGAAACAAACCCAAAGTAAATCGGATAAAAATTGAATTTTATACAAATATTTTAAAAGAGGACTCAACTTTATGTCCACTATGCGTTTACGTTAGACGAAACGGGACGCGCCGATGCATCCGGATAGCGCGAAAGTGTTAAAGAAAATAATTAAATTTTTATTTTTCAAATACAGTACAGTATTGTGTTTATTGGATAAAAGGAGAGAGAAATTACTTTATTGGACTGACAATATCAAAATAAAAATAAAATTTAACATAAATCTGTACAAAATCTGGTACCATACTTATCTCCATGTGTTTAAATGAAATTATTTGTTGGCTGGATTAAGCTCAGTTTTGTGTGAGATTATTTGCATTGAGACACATTGTAAGCTAAACAGATGAGGGAACCAGTTTTTTGAGGAAAGTTCCTGTATTGCCTTGTCCTTTTCAGTGTTAAGTTTACTTACTAAAATGGTAATTAAAAATGTATTTTGAGGACATTTTAAGGGTTAGCTATACTAAATGTTAATTTTCAAATGTTAATTCTTTTAAAACATTTTACTACAGTTGTGTTAATTTTTAAATGAAAACTGAAATCATAGGGCACTTCAGGTACTGCCAGAATTTCAGTATGTTTAGTGACACACATTGTGTACTTTTTATTTAGTCATATCTAATAAATCTTAAGAAAATTTTTACTGTGAATTTAATAATTTTCCATAAATGAAGTACAAAAAAAAAAAAGTTTTTCTCAGGTGAAAATTGGAGACTTCAATTGTTTCAAAAAAATAGATGACAAATTTTGGTAAGGCACACACTTGAATGCATGCTATGAAATATTTTTGAAGTAAGTGGTGTTCCTGGGCAGTGTACATAATTTTACAGTGGTTTGTGGCCTTTTCAAGTGTGGTTGACAAGCGCCACTTGCAACGGGCCAAGATCATGCTGTAATACTGCACCCTTGTCTTATTTTATTGTTAGTTTCTTCACTTGTTTGCCTTTCAAGGTTTACATAGAGGTTTAATGTTTGATATTTATTGGAGTGGCCTAAATTAGTAGGTAGCTGTATTGGGACTTTTAAATGCTAAGGGTTGCCCCCTGGAAAGTTGCTCACCCTGTAATCATCTACACGAAGTGTAATAATTCACTTGGTGTGCTTGGAAGCTAGCTTAAACTATATGAATCAATACTACAGCACTTTTAATCTCAAGGGGGTTGATGCCTCATAACTTGTGTGTGCATGGGGGTGTGGGCTGGGCTTGTCACTGGGGCATGGCAGATGAATTTTTCTTGTAATTTCAACTCATTAGTATATAAAAATGGATTCAGTGCAACTTTACCTTCTCATTAGCCCCTGTGTAATGGAATTGTAATATTTAGATAGCAATTTAAACTTTATTTGTGTTCAACTTTTCTGTATAGTATTAAATTGTAGGATCTCAAATAATTTTGTGCATATTATCTTAGTGATTTAATGTCTCTATTTCAGTTTTAGTAGCTTTTTACATTATTGTACTGCATGATGAAGCATGATAATAGCACCTTTTACAGCCATACTTAAAAACTCAGGGCAATTAGAAAATAATGGAACAAATATATCACAGAATATTGATCACTATCATTGAGGACTTAATATTGTGACACAAATATTACATGTATGTTGTTATTATAAGCTTAAAATTGAATCGTGTTTTGTATAGTAAAATGGTTATCCAACTTTTATAATTAGTGGCACCTCGACTTACGATTGCCCCGACTTACGATAATTTCGAGCTACGATGTAAATTTGATAAAAAAAAAATGCGACTCGACATACGATGGTGTCGTCGACTAATGATATTTGTTGGTACACGTTCGGGTCAACCGAAAGCGTGGCTCCCGGTCACGTGGGCCAACCTGCTTCAGTTTACTACAGCTGCTCGCTTAGTGACAATCATGCCTATAAGAAATTCCGTTTTGTGGTGATTTTTTTTTCTTTTTGAACATAAAAGTAATTATTATATATCACATCATGGGTCCCAAGAAAGTCAGTGGTAAGGTTCAACATATGAAAACCCATGTAAGAATCACCATAGAGCAAAAACAAGAAATCATTCGTAAATATGAAGATGGTGTGTAGGTTGTTCAACTAGCTAGGCAGTACAACAAATCTCAGTCAACGGTATCCACCATGCTGGCTAAGAAAAAGGACATTGAGTACTAAAGTGGCAAGAGGCGTATCAATAATCACGAAACATAGAACACAAACACTGGAAGTTGAACAGTTGTTATTAATTTGGATGACTATGTATATAGTGAAGACTATGATGTAGACTATGAGAAGAAATGCAAACTTTTGTTGAAACAACTCACTCAGAGCAAGTTGTAGTAGGCTGTTGCCTTAACCTATTCAATGACACTGATACATCACTATAGACAAATGTTAAAATGAAGGGAAAACAAGTGTCTCTTGACAAATTTTTAGTGAGACAAACAAGCAGTAAACCACAACCAGGTCCTAGTGGCATGCAGGCAAAACATAGGAGAGAGTGTACCCCAGAGGAAACATCACTGCCTGATGTGATAATGGAAGTTGACTCCCCTTCTAAACAGTAACACCTCCCCTCATCACCATCTTCCATAAGCCATCAAGGGTCCTCCATAAAGGTAAGATTACACGTATGTACTGTATTGTAGTTAGTAAAACAATTGTATTCAGTATAAAATGTATTAGTTAAAAAGTTAATATTTTGGAGGGTGGGGAACAGATTAATTCAATTTCCTTTATTTCTTATGGGAAAAATCGCTTCAACTTACGATATTTCGACTTACGATCCGTCTCTGGGAACGGATTAGCATCGTAAGTCGAGGTCCCATTGTAGTAACATTTTTCAGCATTTACAAATATTAGATCACTTTTTATCACAGTGAAGCTAATAATTGCATTATACCTATCGTAACTTATGGTTTTGGAATAGGAGAGCCAAACCTTTGAAGTTTCCACTGTAGCATATGGATTTCTTTTTTTAAGTGTTGCTTTGGTCTGTAATATTTACAGCTGGTTTCTGATTAACTCTGTTTCAGGCCAACCCACAATCTAAAAACAAAGCATTATATACATAAATAGATAATATACACATTTGTATGTAGGTTGATTAACATTGACAGAAAATAAGGAAGCAATGTCTTTTGATTAAGAGGTTACATATACTGTACTGTATATGTTGTTATTAAATATTACTAGCATAGCTTAGTAATGTTTTGTTTCATTCTCAATTGCTTTGAAAGATTATTGCTGGGTGATGGAATTCAAAATGCATTTTGTAATCTTTCCTAATATCTCATGGAGCATGGTATTGAAAGTAAGGCCCATTGCCTGAGTTTTTGTGCTGTGCTTGCAGTTCTCTAGTCGGGTAGCTAGTCTTTTGTTATGTACTCCAGGACCCGCTTACTAATAGAAACCTTCCCTTTTTTTCCCGTTCATAGATCGATCTATTACAGTGACAGGCCCTACCCTGACCCCTACATCGCGGCCGCTTCAGGTATTGGACCAGTGGCTGGCTACGGGGTAAGTTACTCTTGTGTGTAATCAGGTTTTCCATGTATTATATGTTTAATAATAGGTATAAATGGGCAAAAAGGTAAGGTAGATACTAGAAGCAGAAAGAACAATCTTTAGTGATTTAAGATATGCGGCTGAACCTGTAGAGGTAGGTCTGTATAAATAATTACCCAAGTGTAGTTACGGAACGAGAGCTGCATTATGGTGTGAGAGAGCAAGTGTGAATATTTTAGGGTGAATGTTGCTATAAAGTGTGTTATGTGGTTTTTTCAGTATTTTAATAGAAGAACTATGATGTCTTGCTTGTAATTTTGTTTGCAAATGACAATATAATGAGGGATTTGAATATTGGTAATAATGAATGGATCCTGATTTGTAAGAGAGAGAGAGAGACACACATTGGAGTGTGGTAGAATACTTAAAAGAAGAAAGTAAATATAAATAAAAGGATTTCTTCATATCAGATAAGATTGGAGGATTTGAATATCTGAATAATAGCTACTGTTTATTACAACAGTATCTAGTAGTAGCAACAGTAGTAATAATACTAGTAGTAATAACAGGTCTAAAAGGTAGATGGGGAGAAAAATATGATAATGTAGATGAAAGATAAGGTGCAGTGAAGGTGGCAGGAAGATACTTATCATATGTTCTGATGAATGGAAGTGAAAAAAAGATTCAAATTGTTGTAACACAGATTTTTTTTTTGGCTTGCTAGATTGATATTAAAGACAAAATAGTTAGGAATAATGAGGTAGACAGTGAGCAGATGAAATGGGAAGTAGGGGGGGGGGAATTATAAAAGATGAATGAGCAGAAGAATGGGAAATGTGGAAGAATTAAGAGCATTGACTCTATAAGAGTTAACAGTTGTATAAAGGAAGGAATGCCTGGTGATTTAAACTTTTCATACTGTATTTGATGCTGTTGCTAGATATTAGTATTAAATTAGGTACTATACACTTCCTCTGATTTTGTAAAGCTCTGAAATATGTGATCGGTAGGCATTAGCCACCCATGTAAACACTACTATTTATAGTTGTTCTTATCTGTACTCACAGTTGATCTGATACATATTTTTACTTCATTACCCTTGCAGTAAGCTGTTCTCTAATTCATTAACATTCTTTTTCCCATTATCCTTATCCTTTGTCTTTTCAACTTGTAATGAATGAGAGAGAGACTCTTGCCTCGGTCTGATTTCAATGGAGTACACATAGATGTGGCATATTTTCATTGGCTTTAGGAGACTTTCATATGCACACTGGTACATATTTTCACTTTGGCATAGAATAAACTTTCTCTTTACAAAAGTTTCGTTTCACAATAATGCAAACTTCACAGTGAACACATTTTGGGTGAATTGAAAACAATAAGAGTTATTTTAACTTTTTACCCAGATTTGGGTGCTCTTCTCGCTGTTGTCCAGGATGGTGTATCCTCATCCTAATCTGTTCCCAAAATTTCACCTCTCCTTGAGTATCAGCAGTCTGACTTCTCTCGGTAGTTCATGACTCCGCAAATGTTTACATTTGAGGTTTTTAGGTTTCGTGTACAATTCTTTGTACGAAGTGGTAGAAAGCTCCTTTTGCCTATTCTCACTTTCTGTCGAGAATCCTCATTATTGGTTTCATTATTGGTTGCCATGTCTTTTTTTCTCAACTTTTTAATGAACACAAATTGATGCCATCCAGTTTTGGCAGAGCTTCTCTTGTTAGATTTTATGTGAGTGATTTTTTTTGTTAAGCTAGTTTGTTTGTCTTCCCAACATTTTCATATCTTTCAATGAACAACTTGTTCTGTTAGGTGATGTACTGTATTTGTTGGCTTTGGTTTCTGAAGCTTAACCCTAAAACTGTGCAATGCTTCATATGACGTGTTGAGTAACTGACGCGAAAGTGTGCTCCCCTTCATATGACGTTTTGGAGTACCGTGGAAGATTTAAACGGCCTGCGGCTACACAGGGTTCACATTAGCTTCACATTTATATATAGTGTAATAACAGCAAAAGGCATGGTGGGAGAAGCCATTTTGGTGAGGGAGATGGCGTCATCTGCATGACTTGTGCTGTTTAAGGGTGGCCACTATGCTCTTTGGGCACTATACCAGCTTAGTTGAACAATTATGGCGAACAAATCATGTAGATACTTGTATATAATGTGAATATATAGTGTAATAACAGCAAAATTATTTGTTTGTTTTATGAACATAATAATTGAATCACTAACAATACCTTTTGATCACAATACTTTTGAGTAAGTATAGTGATGATTCACACATTTTATTATATAAATATATCACACTATCACTACACACTACTGAAAAATATTACTGCAAAAAAAAAAAAATTAAAAAATCAGACATTGAAATAATTAGGTAATAATATCTTTGTGGCAACTCCCGCCTGTCAGCTGGGGCGGAGCTGACCGGCAGCGCTTGCTTTGTCAATGCCTCATTTTTGCCAGACTTCCCTGCCCTATTGCGGCAAAAATATGCCACCCACGATTTTTGTATTATTTTTCCCATGATCAGGGAACACAAATGAACACTTTTATAAAACAAAAGAATTTAATTTTCTTTTTTCATTTTTTCCTCGCCTGTGTGTGTTGACGGGGCAAATAGCCCTGAGCAGCTTAGGGGCTATTAGAAGCAGCCAGGGGTACATAATACCTGTTGTCCTGTGGCTGCTGTGTGATGCTGTTTACTCTTTTACTGCATCCCTTGCAAGTACTGTATTCTGTTTATTAATCCTCTTTCCATGATACTTTGTTCCAAGGCTCGTCTTTTCTAGTCATTTGAAAGGTGATCAGCTTTAGTCAGCCTGATGTGTATTCCCCATACTCGTGCTGTAATGTTGTCCAACATTTTTTTGCAAATAACAGTAGCTAATTTACAGATTTGGTATTTTGGTATCTACATTTTACATTATGGAAGTTCATACCCCTATCTTATTTGTGTTGCATTTTAGCTATTAACTAGGCACTGATGATGCTGCTCCTTCCCCAAGCTCTCATCTTACCTGGTTTCTCATAGGTCTAACTTGTAATTTTTTGGTGTTGATTTCTAATGTGTTTTTGACAGGAAAAATATATATAGATCTTCATGAGGTTATCTTCTCGATGGTTTTGGGGCTTAGCTTCCCTGCGGCCCGGTCCTCGACCAGGCCTCCTTTTTGTTACACACCCCCAGGAAGCAGCCCATAACAGCTGTCTAACTCCTAGGTACCTATTTACTGCTAGGTAACGGGCTTTAGGGTGAAAGAGACTACCCGTTTGTTTCTGCCTCCACTGGGGATCGAACCCGGAACCTCAGGACTACGAATCCGAAGTGCTATCCACTCACTCAGCTGTCAGGCCGCTAGTACATAATACCTGTTGTCCTGTGGCTGAAGAGTAGATACCTCTATCAAGGCACTGAATTGTTTAGATAATCTTTTACCTTCATGTGGTTCGCTTTGGTGTAAGTTGATTTTTTATCCCTATTCTTCCTTTGCTTGTGAGAATGCTAGATTCTGGTCCTGTGTGTTTGGCAAGTCTAGGAAAGCAGTCAGAGGCTTGATTGTTACTAGTAGCTTTAATAAATCAGTGTCTTCAGAAAGTTTTGCTTCATTAAATTTAATGTAATGACAAAGGGTATTGTATTACATGTTACCTATTTTAATGCCATTCAAAAGTACTGTATAGGCAAAGAATATTTTATATTGCTTATTTAGTTTTTACTGTATTTGTGTTGATGAGATACTAAGCCAAGTTAATATTTCTTTTCAGGCGGTCTACAGAGGCAGCTACAATCGATTTGCACCGTACTGAGGACCTCATGTGTGCATTCATTAAATAACATGACAATGCCGTTATCAATTGCTCATTAGAGACTATGTTGGTCTGTGTGACTGTATGGTTATATAACAAAGAACTCTGCTCCCAGCCCTTGACCATCTATTGTAATGTCCCATGGAGTGTCACCACACCACTTAGTTGACAAGTCGTTTTGTCATTACAACACTCGAGAAAGTTTCTGTTGTGACAGCTCACTTCCACTTGTTCCTTAGGGCTCATCTAGATGATGACAACTCTCAAAAGAAGCATAGTTAAGTTAATATTTCCCATGCCCAAGACTTATCAGCAGTTACCTAATTAATAACTGGTGGCAACATGTTGGTAGGACGAGTGTGTAAAGTGTGCCAGACTGGACCTAAGAGTGCTTTAAAGGTGGCTGCATTGGTGTGGCATCCAGTTTGTACAAGAGGTGGCTGGGGCTGGAAGGTGGTGTGATGCCACCCACACCAACCTGACCAACACATGGACTCTGTGCTGTTGTTACCATTTTCCCTCTACCATTTTGTATGAAGGGTCTTGTAGTGAATTTCTGGACAATTTGGAAACTTCAGTTTAAACCCATGTAGGCAATTTCTGAGTCAGTGGAGTATTTGTTATGTTGAGAGTAGGCATGGCCCATTTCATAGACAAATTATGAAATGAAATAGTGCATTTTTAATGTATTCAACGAAACATTTGACAAGTGTGACTCGTATAACCTATACTTGTACAGTGTATGTTTACACTCTTAAGATATACTTGATAACCAATTATGAATCTCGACTTCTGATAGCCCTATTGATATTAGCTATAGAATCTCATTTTCTTTACTACTACTACTACTTTCATTTTTAATTTTCAAGACTCAAAAGTGCACCGCTTGCACTTAATGTTTCTGAGCGTAAAGTTATTTTATACATGGTGCAATGTCATAACATCTTGAATCCCGAAGGCATTATAAATGAAATGTTTTTGGTGTTACATGGATTTTTGTATGATGCAGAACCCCACATATAAGGTCACATATAGGTACCAAGTCACAAAGGGTATGATTCTGTCATGTAATTTTATTATGGTAGGAATTATTGCATCATCAGTTGTAGCCAAGACAATCACATTTTTATTTATACTGATAGCATGACATTAAGCATATGACTGTCATGCTTAAAGTTTTGCTTTTTACAGAAACTGTGTGGGTTCTCCAGTATACCTCGTCTTTTCTTTTTCTTTTTTCTTTTTTTTAGGTCAGTACATTTTTGTAGGTTAATTATCCCTTCCTTGTACAATATTTGTAAGTTTGCACTATACTGTTGGAAATCAAACTGTTTTTTAGTAATGGACAGCACAATCATTTTCTCCATATGCCCAAAGTGATGTCTTTGTGGATGTTCGCAATGTGCATTTTCCCAGTAGCAATGTGATCAGTCATGTAATTTGTGAGCTATTTTCATTAATGCTCATATTAATGACATGTGTATTCATTATGATATTATTGTGTCATCAGTGTCCGAAGTATCAGTGACGAGTGTATTTTCTCATGTTTTATAACTGATTGCTTCTGCTATGTATGCAGTGTGGTATTGTGAGTGTAGGGTGGAGTGGTGTTCGCACAAACCCTCAGGTACATACTGGCTTGACCAATACACCCGACTGACTGACCCACCCCCATGCCACCTGCTATCTTCTTGCACAATCCTTTCCCAAATGTGCAGTTTGTCGATCATCCCATTTGTGTTGCAGTGTCTTGGTTTCTTTCTGCTGTGAACTATTGTTTTGCTTACCTTGGGTCAACTTGACACTTCAGGACAAGGAAGTTGCATTTTTGCATTTTCCCGACTGGCACAATATCAAATAGTCATCAGGTGCAATAGGGACTTTATGATATTTCTCCAGGCTTTTCAGTACTTGATTTTGAGGCATATGAAGTTTGAACCTATCCTAGATCCTGGATTGTGACTTGTCCGTAGAGAAGCTGACCACATGGGGATTGTCAGAACCAAAGATATCAGTATTTGTCCAGTCTGCAAGTCTCCACTCTGTGCTATGCTTTTTGCCACTTTCTTAGTTTTAAATGTGCATAATGTTTCTTGTATTTCTGTTCATCTGAGAGGTAAAGTGGCAGCATGGAATAACTGAAATAAACCAAAGATCTAAAACTGTTGTCTTCTGTGCCAGTGCGCATATCTGCAATGCCGCATTGGGCATCACATATAGCATCCAAATCAGCATCTGTGCCAGATGCCTATACAACGCTTTGCTTAAAAGCTTGTATTTGGCCAGATGTATTTGGCCCACAAGTGTGGCAGTATGTGTGTGTGTGTGTGTGTGTGTGTGTGTACTGTACTTGGCACAGGTACACATACCCAGCCTGTAGACAACATAGTGCAGCAGTGTTAAATTTTGTGCAGCTATTGTGGTCTTAATACTCTTGGAGTTGAAAATGGCAGCATTTGGAATTGAAGCAGCTACAACCCTCTCAGAGTAAGAGTATTTGAAGTAATTAAGGTATTTACCCTACTCAAGAAATGCTTGATAGGTTACTAAAATTCACAGTGCAGGAAAGAAACCAGACAATAGAGATGTCAAGTCTTCCTTTTAGCACAATGGATAATTTGTGTCGTGTTGTGAATCAGAGCACAAGAGAGATTAAATTATTGATTCCTTCATTCAAGCACAATGGTGAATAAATGTGTATCGTAACGTCCAGTAAGATGATATTTCATTTGTGTTCATTTTTCGTAATCCATGTAAGAAACCACCATTTTTTGTATGATGTATTATTGTGTAATGATATTTAGTAATGACAGGAAGAGTACTAGTTTTAGACAACTTTTTGCTCCTTTTAAACCTGATTGTGGTACTGTACAAATCTGCCCTGTGTTTACTCTGTATAATAAATAAAATATAAATATTGTTTTATGTTTTTTTTGTCTAGTGTTTTAGCTTGAGTGAATCTTGGATGGCATTTGCAGACATGACTGTATTTTCCAACTTGAGAATTGCTGTTACATGGGTACATGGATGGTGAAATATTGAAGAAACTGTTCACAACTTTTGTGAGGTCAAAACTTTAATATGCAGCAGTTGTATGGTGTCCATATCTCAAGAAAACCATCAGTAAACTGGAAAAAGTGGAAAGACATGCTACAAATTGGCTTCCAAAACTGAAAAATAAGATGAGAGGCTAGATATATTAAATATGCTAAAACTAGAAGACAGAAGAGGTGGCGGCAATATGATCCCTACATATAAATATGGATATAAGTCCAGGATAAGCTTAAGTTAAGCTTATCCTTGACAATGAGAACCTTTCTTTTAATATTACCTCTGTTATCTCTGACATATCAGCCATTGCTCTGATATATATTGTAATCAAATTATCCAAGATACCTAAATAAAAAATTCAATTCAAGAGGGGGTAAGATAAGTACCTTGTTATAAAGAAGCATTGGTAACACAGCCTTACAAGGATGGATAGATGTAATGTGCATAAGAAGTTGTTAGTATCTACTGGTCTCTCACCCCCCCTGAATGAAGAGCCACAGGCCTTACACTCGCAAGGTAGGTCATATTCAGTCAATAAAATAATATTGTTTTGTTCAGAGATTGAACAAAACAATGGAAAAACAATTTTAATAAACTATATGTAGCACTTTGAAGTAAATAAGTGAGGGCAAATTCAGCAATAATAAACTAAAACTGTAGTAAGTGAGGATTAACTTATATTTACTCACCTAAGTTAAATCATAATGAATGATAATAAACTAAAAGTAAACAGTGGGTGAATGGTAATGAACTATAAAATATTTTTTTTTATTTATATATACTGGAGTTCTACTTATTATTCAGCCATTACCACGGATAGTGTTTCGGGCAGGTCCCTAATCCTGAATTTCCTCGGAATACGACCCACCAAATCGTTTAACAGCCAGGTACCCATTCACTGCTGGGTAAACATAGGCTACAGATTAGGATTGGCACCCAGTCAGTCCTCCCTGGCCAGAATACGAACCCAGGCCAAAGCGCTCGCAAAACGCAGGGCGAGTAATTTACCACTGTGCCACTGGGACTTCTGGCACAAACAGGTAAACAAACATTAAGTAAACTATAAATTATAATGTATAAATGAGTACATCTGTGTGTGCACGGAGAAAGGGGTTTCATATCTTATAAGAAAACATTGCCTTTCATCAGTTGCCTTTAACTAATACCAGTTTTGAATACACTGCAGCATTTCACAATTGAAGAATGTGCTTTTGGTGTCTTTTGCAGCGTGGACATGTTGTGCAATATACTTAAAATTCTTAAGACCATCACATTCACTTAAAATAAATACATTGTTGTTATTAATATAATAGTCTCCGTTGGGGTAATATATTAAGTCCCCAGGTTCCGTGGCATAGTGGTAAGACACTCTCCTACCGTTTGCACTGGGTTTGTATCCTGGCCAGGGAGGATTTACTGGGTGCAAATCCTTAAGTGTAACCTATGTTTATCCAACAGAAAAATGGGTAACTGGTTAAACAATTTGGCAGGTCGTATTCCCAGGAATATTAGGATTAAGGACCTGTCAGAAATGCTGTGTGCGCTAGTGGCTGTACAGGAATATTTTAAATATTATATAATATATATATTTTATATTTATATATATATATATATATATATATATATATGTCGTACCTAATAGCCAGAACGCACTTCTCAGCCTACTATTCAAGGCCCGATTTGCCTAATAAGCCAAGTTTTCATGAATTAATGTTTTTTCGTCTACCTAACCTACCTAACCTAACCTAACCTAGCTTTTTTTGGCTACCTAACCTAACCTTACCTATAAGTATAGGTTAGGTTAGGTTAGGTAGGGTTGGTTAGGTTCGGTCATATATCTACGTTAATTTTAACTCCAATAAAAAAAAATTGACCTCATACATAGAGGAAAGGGTTGCTTTATCATTTCATAAGAAAAAATTATAGTAAATATATTAATTCAGGAAAACTTGGCTTATTAGGCAAATCGGGCCTTGAATAGTAGGCTCAGAAGTGAGTTCTGGCTACTAGGTACGACATATATATATATATATATATATATATATATATATATATATATATATATATATATATATATATATATATATATATATATATATATATATATATATATATATATTTTTTTTTGGTACCACCACTGGTGCAATTATAGGGACCCACAGCCTCAGAGAAGGGAACACAGAGCACTCAGGGAAAAACTTGACATTTAACTCTGAATACGAAAGAGTGTTCACTTCTCCTACCACCCCCTTTTTTTTTTTATTATGATGTACACTTTATTATGCAAGGTTATACAGTTACATATCTGATTTTATACAAAAAATGAACATTAAGAGGACACAAGAAAAAGTTCGCTTCCTAGAGGCTGTAGATTTCCTCGAACTCCTCCGACGCCGGGCAGGAACCGAGGATGCAGCGGGCATTTCCCCTCTGGATTGCGACACTGAGGCGCTGAAAGAGAAAACTTGCTGCTCTAGGGTCTCTTGTGGTGTCAATGAGCTTGGAACCAAGATCCTTAAGAAACCTTCTTGCACTCTCACCCCATGGGCCTAGGGTCTCAGACCCTATTGGAACGAAGTTGTACCTTTGATCTAATTGCCTGTACTTGACTGACTTTTGTTTTTCTCTGTGTCGCTGCGGCTCCTGCCGTGCCGGCAGAGAGGGTGATGTATGTCGTTGCCAGGGTGGATACGCAAGTATAGTCCCATGCTAACTGCCTGCCACCCTTCCACGGACGCAGTGTGATTCCGTCTGGTCGGCCGGCAAAGCTAACAGAGTCACGGTTCAGTAGGTTGCGGGGCTCTCTCTCCGCTGGACACTGAGCAGAGGCAAGGCTTCTTTTAATGATGTCGTTGACTTCGTCGTGTCTAGTGTGCCAACCACCCGATTTTCCACAGTGCAGGCCATGCAATCCATATTCGTCAGCATCTGCCTCGCCGCAAATACACCTGTGAACAGTGTGGATAGGGGCAGCAAGGCGGAGAGCGACTGCAATACGGAGCTCCTGCGGATCAAGACGTGTTCCTGTCGCAGACATAGGGACTGCTAGAAGGAAGTCCCCTGCATGGGGAGCCTGCACAGCTGTGAGGCGTGCACGATCACTGGGGGTTGTTGCTGCCTCCAGCAAAGCTGTGGCTTCTTTGTCTACAATGGGGCTGTCCCAACTGGATTGCTTCTTGGCTTTCGGCATGGCTGGTCTGAGTGCTGGGTCTGTCATGGCACCCCATTTCGTGTCGCATTCCGTGTAGTGGGGGTCCTGTATCCCCGCTACATCACTCAGGGTGTCAGGTAGAATTTCCTTAACCAGGTCATCTGATGCTGAGGAGGAAGACAGGAAGGCTGGGACAGCAATTTGGGTGGCGGTGCGGACACCCAAGCCACCGAGCCTGACAGGAAGAGTGGCTTGTTTCCACTGGCATTCGTTGAGGGAGAGGTTAACAACATTTTCCAGCATGGTCTTCAGTAGGAGGTCATACTCGTCAAGCTTTGGGTTGTTGTAAGATGGGGCGCACCTCAGAAAGTAGGTTAGCCTCGGAAGGGATAGGCATTTGGTGAGGAGATAAAAAGCATCGTGGGCATCGATGTCACCTATCTCTGTCTTCCATCCTCCTAAGGTCTGCGATTTTCTTGTCGAGGATCTCCTCAATGGCGTTAGACCCGAGGGGAGCTCCAAGGAGGGTGCTGTTCTCGGCCCTAATGACATGGGCTTCAGGCAAGGCAGACCTTATTCTAGCTACGATGTCTGGGTTGGAGGAGACTACTTCACACTTGGAAGGGTTCAGGACGAGACCCAGGCTTACTTCTTGCTCCCTTATTTTCCTGATATCTGACAAGAGGTGGTCTACCACCTCCATATGTGTATATGTGTATATATATATATATATATATATATATATATATATATATATATATATATATATATATATATATATATATATATATATATATATATATATATATATATATATATATATATATATATATATATGACCGCATATTCTGTATTTATTATTTTCTGGTTTAGGGCTTCTATCCCTCTAACTATTTTCTTAGCATCAGGGCTTAATTGAAATAGGAGTTCTCCAAAACTCATTTTCGTACTTTTAAGGTGAAGAAAAGAAGTGATTTACTATAGAGTGTATTACACTTATTTGTATAATTTGCACGACGTTTCGAACCTCCATGGTTCATTCTCAAGTGAACAGATCTTACAATACTAGTTAATTTTATACCCGCATTAGGTCAGGTGATAATACAATGAAGGTGAAAACATGGGGGGATACATAAGGGATAAACATAGGGGCTGCAGAAGGCTTATTGGCCCATACGAGGCATCTCCTATCTAAACACAAAGATTAATCCAGTGTAATTGGCCTGTTATGTTGGACATTGTCTTCTGTGTTGGCATCGATATGTTCTTGTCTTGTCCTTACTCTCATGGTGGGTAGAGTAAATAGTTCCGTGATTTGGGTGTTCATGGTAGGTCGCTCTATTCTTATGTGAATTGCCTCAAGAATTTGTAATCTTCTTGAATCTTGGGTTTTGTCTATTATGCAAGTATTCTTGTTCAACATTTCTCTTGTTAGAGTAATGTCATGGGCTTGTCTCATGTGATTCCTAGGGGCACCAGATTGAAGATGGCATGTCAAACGCCTCGTCAGCTTGGTCGACGTCATACCTATGTACTTACATTGAAGGTTACATCCTTCGTGGGGGCAAGTGTACATGTATACAACGCTTGACTGCTGTAGAGGGTTCTCCGTCGGCTTCGGGCTGTTTTTGATAAGGAGTTCGGAAGTCTTCTTGGTTTTGTAGATAATATTCCTGATAATATAATATTCTAAGTAAAAAGTAAACCTGATAATATTC